TAATTTTTGCTCTCCTCTCCTACTAAAAATAATATTTAAATTAATCATTCGTTAAGTGCCAACATACACTTACCAACACACATACACACACACGCAACCATAAGTGTATGTATTCATAACGAACATGATTTTGGCAAGCATCATCATTGACAGTTTGCACACAGCCTCCCACACCCAACGAAATAGAATTGTTTTGAAATACTGACATTAATGGTGAATAAATATGGAGAATGCCATTGTCGGGGAGCGTATAGGTCAACACATAACAAGGACCAAAACAGTGATGCCAACTAAAAAGCCATACCGCAAATAGTAAGTAAGCTGTGAAGAAGAGATTTAGTGCGGGAGTGGAGGGAAAAGAGAAGAAAGAACAATATTCCATAACAAAAACAATAACAAATCGAAAAGCGCCAATTTGTGGTGGGAGAAATCCAAACCAACAATGATTTATGAGCCTTTGCAGCAAAGTAAACAAACACATACACAACACACAAGCTAAAGCTAAAGCGCCTGTAAATAGGTAGCGGAATTTCAACACACACACACACATGCACATGCGCCTACGCGGCTAAGGCTGATGTCAGTGACACATTCGAGCCTTCAGCTGTTGCTATATGGTTATATAATATATGTGTAGTACAAATGGCATATAGACCACACATATGATTGCATATAATATATATTTATGGGTATATATATAAAATTTTATGTGTATGTTAGTGCGCTTGAATTATTTTGTATGCATTGTTGGCTCTCTGCCACACACTATTTTCATTTATTTACATTGTGGCAACCATTAAAACCATTAAATGCAAATGTACGCACACACACACACATATGCAGAAAAGTATTTTCTTTATATAAATACGTAGCACACATAGTGTAATAGTTATATAATCAGCAAGGCTTATTATGTCGATTAGCTTGGCGTGGAGTTGTGAGCTTGTCGCCTGGCTGACTGCCTGCTGTGCTTAATTATCAAACAATTAGCGAAGCGCAAGAGCTGATTGCGCCAAAATGTATGCTATCAGAAACTATGGTATGTTGTAAATCTTGTGAGTTCTATGGTTAAACTTCCATCTAATCTAAACTAAGTAATGGGAGAACTAGATACAAGCACTTGAGGACTCAAAGGATGTCGATTTTTATCAAAAATCCATAACGAATTTGAATTTAAAATAAAATTAAAATAATTATTTGCATTAATACGTGTATGGCAAATATACAACAACTATGCAGGAGTTCGAAGATTTTCTTCTCTTCTTCTCAACTAAAAGCATCTTTTTGTATACAAAAAAAAAATGCGAAAAAAGAAAAAAATAAGAAAAATGATATACCTTTATCAACAAGTAATACTCAAAACGTAACGAAATATCAAAACAATGCAAAATTGCAACAAAAAGTGCTTAGCCATGAAATAAGATGTTTGAAAATAAGAAAAAAAATTCTTTTTTTTTTTTTTATTTTTTTCTATTTTTCAAAAGCAAATCAAGACTGCTAATAGTGCATAGGTGTTACTTAAAAATATATGAAAGCGTAGCTTTTGTTATAGCCATTTGTACTCACATATTTGTCTAAATTAGTCAAGAGCGGTCAGCACTACATTGTTCATTTTTCGCTTTACATATATATTATGTGTAAAGCTTTTATTATGAACAGACATATGCATGCACCAGAAATTGTGTGCTTTTGGCTAGGAGCCATTGCTGTGGACAACTGAGCGCACATACATATATAGCCATGCATAAATATAAGTATATCCATGTATTTTTCCCCCACTATTGGCCTCTCGTACTCTTTTATCTTTATCCATATATAAATATAATAATGGGAATGTGCTCTTTTGTTGGGATTTCTTGTTAAAAACTGTTGCCACTCTAAGCCATTGTCAACTCACCAGTGTTACTAGAAGGGCTTTTAGCAATATTGCTTTACGGTATGCTTAACAGCTGCGCTAATATATAGCTTCGTTAAACATTTTTATAGAGGTATTCAAAACTTGTTGCCTACATTTGGCTACACCAAAAAAAATTGAGATATTCATTTGAGGAAATAAATAGCAAATATAAATAAATTAATAAAAAAAAGGTTTTTCAGAGAAAAAATATATGGGCCGAAGTTATAAACCTATTACAACGCGTTTATTTGATTTGTTTTATGATTAAAAAAAATTTATGAAATTTTTGAATACTCCAAATTTTTATAAATTTAAAAAATTTTCAAATCAAAATTTCAATAATTTTATATTTACAATTTATTGTATATAGTCCCTTTATTGTTCATAAAACCAACTTCATATTTTATTCGTTACTTTAGAAATATAAAAAATAAATATTCAAAAAATTTTAAATTCTCGTTTTATTTTAATAATATTTTTCAGTTATTTTATTTGTGGTAATCGTAGTTATTCCTGTTTTTTCAAAAACCTCAAAAGTTAACAAAACGAAATTATAATTTTAAATGAAATAAATTTGATATTTGTCATATTTAGCTCACATACACCTTTTTCTTTTAAACTTTCTCAAATTGTCAAAAGGCTCAAAACATTTTTTCCCCAAAAATTTCAAAAGTTCTAAATTTTGAACTAGAAAACATTTAATAACTTATTTTAAACATTAATATACAAAAAAAAATTGAAAAATTTTTTTCCATGCTAGTTTAAAATTTTAACTTTTTATATAATTTTTTTTCTGAATAAGTTTTTTAAATTTATTTTGCAAATTAACCAAATTTTTTATTTTTAAAAATTTTCAAAATAATGATACAATAATTGTATTACTCATTGAATATGTTACTCATACGCCAAGACGTCTAACCTTTCGAGCACATCAACGGCTGTATGGTTTAACGTTTATTAATAAAAAATATATTAGATGTTTTTTCAGGTCATTGTTCTGTTGAATTGTTTTCGGGTTTTTTATGGAACTCTTTCAGACCATATATTTTTTGGAAATAGTGAAAAAATCGGTTCGATCCCTACCAAAAGAAGTCTGATGAGGAGTTGTATAATAAACCAGGTCTTTAGTTTGCTTAATACTTATGACAGAAATTAATGTAATATGGCCGCAAAAACAAATATTTTAAATATACCCAAAAAGCTGCTTCTAGCACATCTTTCCCCTGCCAACTTTCTGACAGAATTTTCGGCTAACTTATTCGCCTCCCTGCAGAGCCATCGAGAGCAGTCAGAATGAAAGCAAATTAATGAAAGCCCAACAATAAGCCTTTTGTTCACATCGCCTTCAAAAAAAAACTTAAGAGGAAAAAAATGCAAGCTCAGTAAGTGCTGTAAGTAATTCTTCGAAACCGGTGGGCGTTTCTTACTTTTTATACTTTACCATTCTTTTGGGTAGAAACATTTTGCGGCTTTTGTTCAACACCTTTTGTGTACATTCAACTTATTTATACAAATCTAAGTTTTTCCGCTTGCCACCTTCATTCACCACCCGCTCGCAACTCGATTCAATTCCACTCACCTCAAAATAGCTCAACTCAGCCGAGAAATGAAAAGAGCTCAGAAAAGCTCCTCAGGTGTGGCTGTTACCGCCTTCTTTGTTATTAAGTTGATTGTTATTGTTACAACATAATAAGCATAATAAAAAAGTTGTTCAATATAACGAAATTTTTATATATTTTTTTACTTTTCTCCTTTTCTCTTTTATTAGCAACACACAAATAACAATTTCCTCTTTTATGCATTATATTTATAGTAAATTGTACAACATTTTATTTTTTATTTATTTTCACATCCAGTTATAGTTCATACTTATTGATCAATAGTTTTTGTTGTTGCTTGACTTTTATTATATAGCCGGGTTGTGGTCGTTGAAACGCCTAAGAGGATGCAAAAGTTTAATTGAGTGTGCGAAAATTTTCATTCTGTTCGGCTTACATATATACACAAGTACATACATTTAATATAAAGCGATGTATCGTTATTCATGGTGATGTGTGTGCGAGGCGTGAGGTGGAAAGAAGCTGAAAGATAGTTTTCCATGTCTCGAAAACTGCTAAGAAAAATTGCTCTGTTGCTAGGAAGTGTGTGTAGTTTTGCATGTGTATGAAATGACTTTGGTATGAGATTTTGTGGCTTAAACAAAGTAAAAAAAAATTAAACAAAATTTAATTAAATTAAATAGAATAAATTAAAATAACATAGAACAAAAAGTAAACTCAAATAAATTGAAGTAAAATTAATTATATTAAATTAAAATTAATAAATTGCAATTAAGTAAAATAAATTTAAAGAAAATTATATTAAATTAAATTACACGGAAAGACTAAATATGTAATTTAATAAAATAAAATTTTATAAAATTAAAATTATTTTAGCTAAAATAAAAAATAATAAAATACATTTAATAAAATAAAAGAAAATAAAATGAAATGAAATAAAATAAGCTAAAATTAAATTAAAAAAATAAATTAAATTAAAAAAGAATTAATTAAGTAAAAAAATCAAATTAAATTAAATTAAATAAAAAAATTAAAATCAAATAAATCAAATTAAGTTGAATAAAATGAAATCAAATAAATTAAAAAAAAATTATTAAAGTTAATAAAAAAGGGTAAAATTAATGGAATTAAAATAAACGCAAAGAATTATAAAAAAATTAATGAAGTATTACAAATAAAAGTGAATAAGCTCAATTAAGTAGAAAGAAGTAAATAAATTAAAGTGAAAAAATTGATGAAGTGAAATAAAATCAAGAATAACAAATTTAAAATAAATAGTATAAAATGAAATATAACATCAAAAAAAATTTGGAATTTAAGAGAAAATATAATATAATATAAAACTTAACTCAACAAAATAAAACATAAAAAACACTAATTTTATTGTAAAATAGAAAAATTCAATCTTCAACTTCCCAATATTTGAAAATTTGTGTTAATTACTTACAATCACAACATAAAAAAAATTTCAAATTTTAAAATAAACTTTAAAATTGAATGACACAACAAAGTAATCAAAACTTTCTTTTTTCTACTCTTTGCAGCACATTAAAGTTTCCCATACGTATCCGCTCATATGAATATGCAAAATCAACAGGTATGTACACATGTAACTAAATCAAAACCTCAGGCAGAAATATATGCAAATTCCACACTTGTCTTATAAGCCACTAATTTATTTAAAAAATTTTGGTAAGGCATAAGCAAAAAAATTGAAATTGAATTCTGTAACATTGCGGCCCAATATTTGACATTTCATATGGAAACCATCGCATGCCGAAGATTCCGCCAAATAATCAAATTTTCCACACTTTCAATTAATACATATATGAAAATAGCTTTACAGGACCTTATGTATATGCAATGTTACGTTCATACAAATATATATTTGTATGTTTGCATTTCGGTAGAAAACTCAAAAATTTTTAAGCAAACACGAACAACCTAAATTTCAACCGAACTAATACATGTATATCTGCATATACATTTATATGTATTATGTGTTTGCAAATACATACATATATATGGTATGTATGTATACGTAACATTTATTTGCATATTATTACTTGCACACTCATGCTCTCTGTCGGAAATGGTTTTCATGAAAACAATCGCTTCCGTTTACTCCTATGCAAATACGAGCGCACACATGCATACGCTTACATACGTGCACTTCCTACAAATGCCACTGCGTTCGTTCATTTTTCCTGACAAGTCATCCACTTACATTGAGTTGTGAATTGGTTTGCAGGAAACAAAAGCTAAGCAATCACTGCTGCCAAACCAAAATACACTTAGCAATTCAGCATGAATATATGTATGTATGTGTATATTCATACCTATGTATATGCATGTATGCACACCTTTGTATTTTCACAAATATCTACATTTAGGGTAACTTTTATTCGTTCCAACATGAATGTACTTTCATACATACACGTATATGTTTGTATCTCATAAAGAGACCCTCACGTAGAAAACTAAGAATATGTTTCTGAATACAAAACCTGCAGTATTTTAAATATTTAAAAAATTCTAGATATATATACAAAGCGAGGCAAAGGCCAACTTAAGCCGGTAAACACGTAGGAGATATGAGTGTAGTAATTTTAATGTAAAAATAGTTAATGCAAGTCAATTAAAAATCTGCATCAACGAGCCAAGGTAATTTATTTTTTAAAGCATAGACAATTTTATGAAAATATAATATTAATAAATAACAGCTTTTTAAATTAAAAAAATCAAAAATATGTTTGAAGTTATGTAAAAAAAAATTATTTATAGAATTCTTGAAATTAAGACCTACCCATCCCCCACAAAGTTAAAAAAATTAAAAAAAAAAAAAACAAATATTAAAAAAAATTTATATATTCTTATTACTTAGACTAAGTATAGGACAATAATGAAAATCAAAATTCTTTAAAAAAAATTATTAAAAACATTTTTACAAATCCAAAAATATAAACAATTATAATAAAATAATTACTGAGCCAATAATTAGAATTATTACTAAATAAAATAACTAAAATCAATGAAAAATAATAAAAAAAACACAACTAAACCATAAGCCAAAAAAAATTCGGAAAAATAAATTGAGAAAAATTATCAAATCTGATTCAAAATGGTTCAAAAATTACATAACCAGTTTAAGAAAAATATATATATATATAATTGGCGCTTTGTAACAGCTGAAGCGGTTTTCGGCCGAGCTCCTCCTTCAATTTGTGGTTTTGCGTCTTGATGTTTTTCCAATAAATGGAGGGACCCACAGTTTATAATAAGCCGCCTCCGTACGGCTGATGGTTTTTTATAAGCAGCCTCTATTTCATGTCCGAAATACACTCGAAGGGTTGGCATTCCCTGCCATGGGGCGACCGCAGTTAGAAAATTTAGCTTCATTTTTTTATTTAAATGATAAAAATTATTTTACTTTTCAAATTTGTTAATTAAAAAATGTTTACAAACATATAAAATCAATGAAAAAAAAATCAAATAAATATATTAAATGCATTTTATAAATATTTTTTTTTAATCAAATCTAAATTAAATAATTTAGTTGTAAACTGCCACCAGCAGGTGCCACAAGCACGCACTCACCGACACGTGTACGTGCGCCTCAGGTTGTTTTTGGTATGCGAGTACAGAACACAACTTGTCATTTAACGAAAGCACATGCCATTTGCACGCAAAAACCAACCCACACACACACACACGCACACCCAGACTAAAATACACAAGCAATATAAACAAAAGGATACACCACAGCCTGAAAATGTTTTCGAAATAAATCTCCCACACATTAGTCAATAAATAAATAAACAATTTAGTGTTTGGGCGTGCTCGTGTGTGTGTGATTGGGTGTTTGTGTATATGTCATGTATTATATGTAGGTGTTGTAGTGAACAACAAAGAAAAACAATTCAACAAATGTACTGAAGTGCCACATAAAAGAAGGGACTTTGTTATTGCTTTTGTTTTTACATATATATATATATATATTTTTTTTCGGTCTTCAATAGGTTTCACTTTCACTACCTTTTTAACGCTATGGCCACTGCCTGACCTGTCATTACAATGTGTACTTTTATTCCTATTTTTTTTTTATTTTATTTTATTTTATTTTATTTTATTTTTTTATATATTTTTTCCTGCTTTTATTTTTGTTTTTGCCTTTGGATTTTGTACAAAAATACAACATTTTCACTGCTTTTACATTAAGGGTTCACCAAGCTTCTGTACTGTATATGTGTTTGCTTGTAAGGATGGCGTAGAAAATTGTGTATGTAGTTTTGTCACTCATACGCCCTGGCGCACCTACAAAAATTTCATTGTTATGCATGCAGGTTGAGCATTCTATTGTGATGATATTATCAAGTGAATATACAAATGTATGCATGTGTGTTTAGAAGTATTCAAAGAGATGTTGAGAGTTTTAATAACATCAGAATTTATTATCCTTACTGGTTACTTGGATGGTTAGTAGCTAGTTATGATTAACCGAAAAAAACTGTCTTTAAAAATTTATGTAAAAAAAATATTTAAAAGAAGAAACTATATCTATATCACTCATTTGGTAGTAAAACTAATTAAATCTAACCTCTAGAAATTTCCACTTTCGCCCTAACCCTTAACTAAAGTCTCCTTTGTTAAAAAATAAAATAAAACTAATTAATTAAAATAGTTATTGAGTTAAAAGAAGCCAAAAATTTTTAACTTTAATGGTTTAATTGGAACCAAATTGCAATCCTTTCACCCTCAAACTCTAAGCAATATATTTCCTGTATACATTTTCAACCAGAAAACCACAAGTTTCTGTTACCATTTCCCTTGAAGAGTTCTATTCTGAAAAGCTATCATCCGTTTTCAAATCCAAATAAGAAAAGTGCCACTCGCACATATGTTTAATGAATTTAACCTCTTAATATGAAGCCATTATTCATTGCCTGGCTTCGTTTACTCATTTTGTATGTACGAGGGGCTCTACTTGCGAATATACCCTTACACATATCCTTTTACAAACTCAATTAGTGTAGACAAAAGTTTTTATTAAATTGAACCGTCACATATAATTAACTTACACATTAAACTTACATACACACGCTTGCTTAAAACATAAATAATAGCATATTTGTGCGACAACCTACTGGGCGTAGCTTTATTGGTTAGCCACAGGGCTCCGGGAGTATGATGAGAGCAACTTTTGCAGGAGATAAATGGCAAATAGAAGAGACTTTTATATTAATATAAAAATTTGGCGCATTGCAACCGCTGGAACGATTTTCAGCGGAGATTTCTTCTCCAATTTGAGGTGTATCCCTTGTTTTTCGAACTAAAACCTACTTTTTCTTCTACTATTCTTAGCAGTCTCCAAACCATCAATGGATTTTTTTATCCAACACTTGAACCCCAGCCTTTCGTGCTGTTATTCAAAACGAGCATATTTATGTTTATACCCAATTCTGACCTGCTTCATATGGCGCTTCAACCAAACTTGTTGTCAACTACTACTATCCAACCTCAGCTGTTAAACTCCCAACTTTATAGCTCCCCTGCGTGTATGAAAATACTCGTACAGGTTTTAATTTTCAAATATCTTCATTTGCTAATCTTTGAGTGGTAAACTCTAGCATAGCTTAACTGCTTATCTGCTCTGCCATCTACACACACCTGCTGTTGCTGTTGTTGTTGTGTGCCACTAATTTGTAGCTGTTATTTGTTGTAAAAAAGTTCATTGTTAACTTCTGGCGTCTCTTGAAATGGATCTTGTTTGTTGGCAAATTTCATTTGAAAAGGTCAACAAGTTTATTACAAGTGAGACTGAGCATATGCTCAGGTTAGCTGTGAACTTTGAGGAGTGTTGGCGGAAGATGGAGGTGTTGTGGCAACTGAAGCTGCCGAAAGTGTAAGCTGGAAATTATAGTATAGTTTTTGGTTTTGCTTACCTGTGTATGTGTGTGTGCAACTTCTGCTGTGTTCAGCAGTTGCTTACCTCTACCCAAACTGTCTCTCACATTCTCTTTACTGATTTTTCATCAGCCACAAATGTTAGTCGTTCGTGTTGCATTCGAGTCTTGGTTTGTTTGTAAAACTTTTTTACGTGATCCAACGATTTTCGGGCTTAGTCTACAAAAGCAGTGGAATCATCGAAGCCCAAAGTAAAAAAATAAAAAAAAATATTTTGGGATCAAGAGCTGTACTATAGACTGAAGCAGAGGAAAACGTTTGGTCTTCGACCAGGAAGAACACCGAAGCTTCGCTCGTATTTCACTCCAAATGTCAAGGTTTCCTATATACTTTGAGCCTGTTTCAGGGAACATTTTCTTCATTTGCCTATTAATAACATTGTGTCCGCTCTCAATGACTTCGTTAACCAGAGCAAGGCAGAATGAGAGACAAAGATAGAGATAGAGATAGAGATAGAGATAGAGATAGAGATAGAGATAGAGATAGAGATAGAGATAGAGATAGAGATAGAGATAGAGATAGAGATAAAAGATAGATATAAAAGATAGAGATAGAGATAGAAGTATAAGACTTTTCATAAGACTTTGAACGGTCTAGAAGCACGCCTTGCACTTCCCATAAACTGGTATTAGA